GCGTCGGGGGCGTTCGCCTCTGCCGCCGCCGCCGCCTACGCGCTTCCGGACGCGGGCGGGCAGGCGCGAGCGGGCATTGTGCGTGCCGCCCGCCCCTCCCCCGACACTCGCCGCTCGCCGCCTTCGTTAGCCAGGCCTGCGCCGCCCCCGCGCTGCTGCGAGGAATGCGTTTAAAAGCTACAAAACGACGGCGCTTACACTCTCCTAACACGAATTTCTCCGGGAGGGGAGCCAAATTGGGTCCCGGCAGGGAAGCGGACGTAAATAATAATCATGCGGTATCTACAACAAAACATCCATGTTGCCAAACATCGCGAGAGTTCGCGAGACTATTATTGGCCACTTTGCTACACATTGATGTTCGAAATTGAAACATCAATGTTAAAAACACATTGACCAAAAACCGCAAATGTTTTTAAACATCGATGTTTCAAGTTGGTTTAGAAAAGTTCTAACATAAAGAGCATTTCCGTACGCAACAAAGTTAAATTCGAAAGTGGCCGAGCATATTAATTTATAAATAAAATTCAAATAAAAAAGCTTAAAGGAACGCTTTCAAGTGCGAAATATTTTATTTTTATTGATACGTTATTACCTTTCCTATGGAGCTCAATATACTCTGCATAAATTTCCTGAATGGAGAGGATCGAGGTGACGAGGGAAATATGAAAACAGTTTTATTATGCTACATGTTTCCGAATGAAGTGAATCATAAAAGGCAATTATGGAAGGGAAACACGAAAAGGCAAACCGAGTCAAGTTAACATCTAGTTAATTAGTAAAGAAGTAAATCGGATCGTAAAAATTAAGTAAAATTGTGCGTAACAAGGGCGTACAACTGGTGCTAATGATCTCGGGTGTAAAAAGCCCTCTGCCCAAAGACTCACGGGGTTTCTCGTCGCCGCTCGATCAGTAGAACTCTTATAACCTTCTTGGTGCATAAATACCTATTAGAGAAATATAGATGGCATGAAAACATCTGCATTGATGACGCAGTATTATAAATGTCGGATTGCACCATTGTTTTTTGTTGTTTTTGCCAAACTCCTAAAGCAAATGTATAAATGTGGAACGTGCTGTATAATGGTCGATGATTCAATACGTTCTACCACGTGTAAAGGTAGTAGGATTGAGTTCGCTTGGATAAAGTAAAAAAAGAAAAAACAAAACAAAAAAACTCGCACACAAATTTTCTACACTCTTCGTCCGCGCGTTTCCAAGTCGACGGCGAGAGCCCCGCGACTCACGTAAAACATCTTTGAACATTTTGGCTTTTTTCCTGACATTCAGAGTGTCATTGCCTAAGTGTTCTTTATTAAAATATTTTCTTGAAGGATAATAATAGTGCTATGGGATTTTGGACGAAACGTGCTTTGAAAAAGTGTATGACCCAAAAAGATAGGAAAGCACCGGACAGCAGCGCGATTTAATTTATTCTCAGTCTGATGTCATGTGGTGAATAAAGGCATGATGTATAGGGTAATGTGGATGGATACGCACAGTTGTGTAAGCGTTGTAAATTGTTTATTTACTTCATGAAAAAGGTTTTAATGGGCGGCAAATGTTTTAATTGTAATTCACAGAACGTGCTGCTAAATAGTATTGTGTGGTTATAAAACTGTTTGAAACGATAATTATGCTATCCTTCATGAATAAAGAAACATACTGCTCATGAGAAAGTAGCTCATTAGTAGTCGGAGTCGTACGTACGTTATCGTGTTAGAGCGAAGGTGTGGGACCTGACATCTCGCATAAAACGACATCGTAAAGTGGAATATTGTATATTGTGTGCGCTTCCTGATTTTTATACAATTAATCTAGAGTTTTCAATGAAAGGTATTTATTAATTGGATTGTTGGTGAAGTAGATACCTTTTTTATTTTGATAAATAAATAGAGATATTGT